TTTTTTTCTGCAATTTCATAAATAGCAGTAGTAGGTACAATGATTATAATTGTAATAACGATAAAAATAAAAGTAACATTAGCAATAACAGAAAAAAAAAAAGTAAATTGTGCAGCAGTAACGAAAAAACTGTTAACATTAACAAAATAACGTCTCAGACGAATACTTGATTATTTCGACGACCTTAATGAGCCAACTCCTGAAATTTGAAGATGTTTGCAACTTGTAAAATTTAATGCAGAGAAAAACGCGCTACAGCGAGCAAAATTTCATTATATTTCCGCTAAAATCTAGATCTAGAGGTCAAATCAGCTGCATAAAAACGGAAATTTTGATGTAAGTTGAGAAAAGTAAGCACGCATCAAAACCGTATTGCATTACTCATCAAACTTTTGGAAAACTATGTCTATACAACGCATTTTCTCTAGCAACCCAAAATCTCTAATTCTGCATAATTTGTAAACCTGAACATTATTCGCTGTGTTTTTCTCAAGGCAAGCAATGTTATGATATGAAATGTGAGAAGTATTCAGGAATGGAGAGCCAGCCAACAAGCGTTGAGCGCAAATAAAGTAAATTATTAGCTAAAACTGAAATAGCACTTGTACGAATCATATACAGTACACTTGAAACAGTTCAGTTTTGATTATTTAATGAATTTAGACTAGTGCTACAGATTTTGAAGAATCGGTTCCGTAATAATGCAGTCTTGTATCAAATTTCCCAAATACTTCATAATCTTTTTTTTTTTATAGTGTAAAAATACAAAAGTTTGCCTAAAAGGTTTTAAAAAGTTTGACCATACTTTGCAATTGTTGACCTTCTTATTAAGCCTAATAATTACTCCAGGCTCTGCCACTTCCAATTAAATTATTTATACTGTAATTACAACTGATCGTAAATTTCATTACTAGTTTACGAGACTTATTATTTCGTTCTTTAAACCTTAGATGAGCATTCTGTAGTTCAATAACTTCCCGTCTACAAGCGATTTAATAATTATTCTTTTTAAAACAGAATTTCATTCAATTTCATTCACAAATTGTTGTTCTCCAGTGGCATCATTCCAGTACCTCCGATTTTGCTGAAGTGTATTTTAGCTCATTGAACAAATGGATTTCTAAATGCTGAATGTTTTGTGATTTTTCAAAACAAATCTTTTTTTCCGGCATACACATTGCAAATAAGCTAGTACTCTAATAAAAATATGTCACCAAAATTAGTTATTTCTTCCTCCACTATCAATTGAAAAGTTGGACAAAAGAACTAAAAGTGAACCGTAAATTATAAGACAAGCAGCTAGCAAACTTTTTCTCTATTTTAGACATAAACTATCCGTCTTTCAAACATCCTAAACCGAACCTCAGCTAGATCAATCTTGTGTGAAATCGTTCATTCTTTGCTGAAGAAGCCTTTTTTCTGTCATTACATGCACTACAAATGATTTGCCATCATATTTACGCTGCTGAAGAGTTATCACCAAAATCAGTTTTTACATGGGTTTTTGACATGTCTGTTATACAATCGTCGCTATGAGAAGAGGAGATGAGACGTTGTGTCTTTGCAGCATTCTCCTGATAATTTTTCAAGGTTAGGAGGTTGCCAAACGCTTTTTGGTTCTTCCTTGAGTAGTTAATTTTATGTACAATTATTAAATGATTTCGATTACAGAGGTATATTAATGTTGAATCGAAAACAGTCAATAATATAGGTCACAGTGAAATCATGGATTAGGAATTTCTACGAAAATACCGTTCCAAAGCCGCAGTCATAAACCCAAGAAACTTCTATAACGCAGCACTGTTATCAAAAATATGACAATACAAAACCAGCTGCATCAAAAGGTGGAAATTTAAAGCGAAAAGCACCGCAGGCGTCAGATAATCTTCTTTAAGTTGCGAGGAATTGAACGTTTTAAAATCGAAAACCTTTTATAACGTGAGTGATAAGAACGCACTATAACAGCAAAAACTATTTTGATTTGAGAGCTATAAAGTACAACGGTGCCTGAAAGCAACAATAGGTAACTCTAACTTTCAAACTTTAAAATCTCCATTGTTAAGTCTCCTGGGACGTACCTGGACCGCTCTATGTTCTACAGAAATGTCTCTGTCGCTGAAAGGCGAGTTTAGAAAAAAGATTCGGAGGAAAATGGTAAGGTCACACAGATCGCTAACGGTCAGGGCACCAAAGGATAAACTTAGCTGTAAACAACACCAATCATTGTAAATTATTGTTTACAGTAAGAACTTGCAAATTCACACAGATTGATAACGGTCGGAGCATACAGGTCCAATCATAGCAATAATCCATGATTAACCTCAAGATCAACTACGACACCAATCTGGAGCTGTTGACAATACGTTATAAATCTCCAGATTGACCTGAAGCTGTCATAGAATTGCTAACGGATTAATGGCGCAGGCTGTAAACATCAGCTTAATCTCGACAGATGGCAATCGTCTAAAGCACTACATAAGGGAGTCTTGAAGTGAAAAGTAATCAGTCTTACTTTTTCCACTCTGGAGCTCAGTTCCTCCTTTACTTCTCTCTTTACTTTTCTCGTAATGCTAGTTATAAATGTATGCTTAACTACCGTTTCTTGTATAAATACTTATATTGTTCTGTTCTGTTCGTTAGTGTGCTAATGTGCAACTTATAACCTTTTTTTGTATGATTTTGTCAATACTAACATGGTTTAATTACCCAAGTTTGAGGTTTAGAATAAACGTATTGAACCCAATATGTCCCGCGTGGCAGGCATCAAATTAACTCACAGGTTTACTGGCAATAAAACTGTGGGTATACTGAAGAAAAAAGGAACTAATCTCTGGGACACAGTACCTGACTCAGAGAATCCAGCTGTTTCAACTGTCATCAGCAAGAAGAAATACTGGCAAAAAATAGAACAGTGGACAGAAGAAAAAACTGTGGCAAACGAACCCACAAGAAAAGAAAAAAATCTACTCTTTCCTTTACAGTCTCCGTCCTATAACAACCTTTTTTCAATCACAAAAGCATATATATTTAATACCACTTTCCGCCACCAACAAATCATACTTCACTTCGCTAAGCTTAGTTTTAGAGGTAAGGCTAATGAAAACGCATTTTGCCAGTTTTAGGAAATAGGAACGTCCCTGCTCACAAAATGTACTGATATCCCCATAGTTCTTACGACGCACTATACTGATACTTTTACACTACTTGAAATTCTCTCAGTAAGACAGTTATCGCTTTTCTC